ATGGGCAAAGCTTGAAACAAAAGGAAACTAAATTAAACTCAACTGAAACAAATAACCATTTTCCAGCCTGAAAAAAACAAACAAAATAAAAATAGTAACATAGCTAGAGAAATTTTAAAAAAGCAATTGAGGGGGGGGGGAGATGGGAAGCTTCGCACGTTCACACAAGAACCCGCAGCATCGCCCCGGGCGGTCGCCATGGCAACCCTGCATCCCCCCCCCCCGCTTCATCCCTGATGGACCAAAAACCTCATTTCCAAACTTGGGAAAGTGACTTTTTTTCTTAACAGGGAAGGGAGGGGGGGGGAGTCTCTAAGTGGGGGTGTGGGGGGTGTTCCTCCCCCTTCCCCTTTTGCCCCCCCTCCCCACATTACAGGGCTTACCTTAAAATCCAAAGGGGGGGGGTTGCCCCGTTTGCGCAGAGCCGAGGGAAATCCGGACGCGGCTGGAAACTTTTGCATGGCCAAACGTCCACGGGGTGGGTGGGTGGTGGGAAAAAGGGCGGGGGGGAAAGCCCGGCAGCCAATGGGGAGAGGGACGCGTCGCCAGCCGGCCAATGAGAGGCGCGGGGCTGAGAAAGCCTGGTGAAAGTTTTCTTAAAGTTGGGAGAAAGTCGAGAGAATTAGGGGGAGGAAAGGAGGGGGGAAAGGGGGCTTGAGGGGGGTGGGGGGGACAAAGAGGGGGGTCGCCCCCTGCATAAAGACAATCCGGGAGCGTTGCCCTAAAGGAGGCAGAAGCTTCCAATTTAAATAGGAAATGAAATAAAAATAAGAATTAAGGTGTGGGTCCCTCCAGAATGACTAAGCTGGATAGAGCAGGAGAGAGACAGCAACAGCTGAATTTTTTTTTAAAAATATTCCCTATCAGGCAGCTCCGCCTTCTATGTTTCGAGTCTCCGCCTCTCACAAAAGCTGGGAGGGGGGGGGCTGCATAAGCTAAGCCCCCCCCCCCCAAGTAGGGTTTGCAAGCGGGAAGGAGTTGGGGGCACAGATGCCAGGGGTCTCCTTCTCCAAAATAAACTAAATAACACTAAAAAAATAAATAAAGGGGGGATATGCTGGGAAGGATAGCTTTGGTCAGAGGTTGTTCCTTCAAGCACTGATGTTGTTATCTAGTTGGGTTGGGAAAGGTCTGGAAGGAAATAAACCAGCTTAGAGATAATCAAGGACCTCTCGTTTGTTTCCTTCCTTTTCCTCCTTCCCTTCCTTTTTCTTCCTCCTTTCTTTTCTTCCTTCCCTTCCTTCTTTTTCTTCCTCCTTTCCTTTTCCATCTCTTCTCCACAAACCCCTCTTGTAGCCCTGAGGATGTTACCTAGTTGGGTTAGGAAACGTTTACAAGGCCAGCTTAGAGACAATCTAGGCCTCCTTGTTCCTTTCTTTCCTTCCTTCTTTTCTTCCTCCTTCCCTTCTCATTCCTCTCTTCTCCACAAATCCCTCTCTTGTAGCACTAATGATGATTCTCCTCCATGTCTTCTCCACAAACCCCAGAATCACTGATAATGTTACCTACAACTGGAGACAATCAAGGCTCCCTCGTTTCCTTCCTTCCTTTTCTTTCCTCCTTCCCTTCTCATTCCTCTCTTCTCCGCAAACCCCTCTCCTGTAGTACTGATGGTGTTACCCAGTTGGGTTAGGAAACGTCTACAAGGAAACCACGGAGCTCAGAACGCATCGTGGGACCCTCATTTCTCTCTCTCTCTCTTTGAGCTTGTCGACCAGAAAAGGTCAGCAGTTCGAATCCCGAGCACCGCGTAACGGAGTGAGCTCCCGTTCCTTGTCCCAGCTTCTGCCAACCTAGCAGTTCGAAAGCAGGTAAAACATGCAAGTAGAAAAATAGGAACCACCTTTGGTGGGAAGGGAACAGCGTTCCGTGCGCCTTCGGCGTTGAGTCATGCCAGCCATGACCACGGAGACATCTTCAGACAGCGCTGGCTCTTCGGCTTTGAAACGGAGATGAGCAGCGCCCCCTAGAGTCGGGAACGACTACCACAGATGTGCAAGGGGAACCTTTACCTTATAGTTACATTAATATAATTGTGATATGACAACAAATATGTGGATTGTGACTGTTCAAATAACTGTACCCAGATCACACACCGTTTGATGGAAATGGAAAGTAATGTAAATAAAACATGGAGAGAGAAAAAAAGGGCTCCTAGAATTACACCAGCAAGGTTAGAATTGGGGATTTGGGGAGGCTTGGCCAAAGAAACGATCCAAATTCGCGGCACGGATTCAGACACCGAGTGTTTCTTCCTGCCAAGGAAGTCAATTTCCTCCCTCTTTTCTCTTTGTTGGATCCAGGAATTTTCCATCCTGCTTGGAGCCGTCTCATCCCTGGCCAGCAGAACGAAAACATTTTGATTTTTTGAGCCTGGTGCCAAATGCTTTTTAATCCCTTCTGGGCAACTCGTCCTGGCACGGAGCACCGGTTGCTTGGTGGTAGTGGCGGCAACGTTTCGGGCAGGATGAAAGTCATCAATCAGGGGAGGACAAACGCAGGAACACAGGGTGCTTTTTTTTAAAAAAAGAGAGGCCAGGACACTGTTGTTGTTGTTGTTTTTTCTGGATCAAATATCCTGGACCAAAATTTCTTGCCTTCCCTCCCTCTCACAGCATTGGCATACGGAGAGGACTGGATAAGGAGGGCATCTTAATTCAGGGGGGGGGGGGGCTCTCCGCACCAGGCAGCTTTGCGACTGGTGGACCTCAACTCCCAGAGAAAGGCGGAGAAACTTTTAAAACTTACGGGCTTCCCTAAATGGTCTGGGAGTCTTTTAAAAAACTTGTGAACACTTATCCAAAGTGCGTTTTGAGATGAGTGGGAGAAAAGACATTTTCTAATTTTATTTACTAATTTTTAACTTGCCCTTTGTGTGTGTGTGTGTGTGTGTGTATATATATGTGTATGCATGTGTGTGTGTGTGTGTATATATATATATATATATATATATATATATATATATATATATATATATATATATATATATATATATATATATATATATATATATATATATATATATATAAATAAATAAATAAATCATTCAAGGTGGCAAACATAGCTAATATTCTTTCCTGTTTTCTCCAGCAGCAATCTTGTGAAGTGGGTGGGTTGACGGCTGGAGGAAGGGGCTGGTTTTTAAGCCACCGGGCCTGCTTTCAGACTTAAAGCAGGGCTAGAACTCACCGACACCCGGCGATTGGCTCAAAGTCACACAGCTGGTTTTCGTGCCGAAGGCCGGACTGGAACTCACCGTCTCCTGGTGATTGGTTCCAAGTTACTTAGCCAGCATTCGTGCCTAAGGCATAGAACCCACTATTTCCTGGTGATTTGGTCCAAGGTTTCATGGGTAAGTCAGGACTAGAACTCACAGACTCCTAGTGATTAGTCCAATTCACCCAGACGGCTTTTGTGCCCAAGGAAGGACTAGAATTCACCATCTCCTGGTGATTGGTTCAAAGTCACCCACCCAACTTTCCATCCCTAAGTCAGAACTAGAATTCACTGTCTCCTGGTGTCCTGAGCAAACCGGCTCTTATTATACCCAACTCCAAGCGCTATAAGGGAACTTCAAGTTGAGCCGACGTCTCTTTTCTTGTCGTTTGAGGGACGGAAGTGAGTGTGTTTCACAAAACGGGGACCTCGAGACACACAAACACACCACGGCGAGGCGGAAAAATAATAATAATAATCTGAAATCTCGCCACCTAGACGAGAGCCCTTTTTCAGTTAACGCCAGCTGAAATTGGTACAAAATTCACTTTGTTTTTAATGTCCGCAACATTAAAACACGAGGGAGGGGTTGTGTATCAATCCAGCTATACCTTGCTTCTCCCCCCCACTCCCTCTCTTTTTCTCTCACCCCCTCCCCAGTTCTCTCTCTCTCTCCGCCGAATGTCCAGCAGGATAGAAACAACGATCAAAGACACATCCGTTAAGCACGTGACCAAACACAAGCCCGACGGAAAGAAAAACGGACACAGCGACCCCCCAAAAAAATGTCAGTTGGGAAAATTACCGGAAGGCGAACGTAATAATAATAATAACAATAATAATAATAATAATTAAAAAAACAGGTCCCAAGTTGGTTCTTTTTTTTTGTTTGCTTGTTTTACAGTCTTCTCGGGAGGAAAAAAAAAGGGCCAAAGTTTGTCGTTCTGTCAAGTTTCCCCCCATTATTTGTCAAAAAAAACCCGGCAGCCACTTTCGAGCTACCGAAACGACCGGCTACAGCGGAGGGTTCCAAAATTTTAAGTAAGCGCGGAAGCTCCAAATTCAGGAGCAGCATCCGGACAAGTCTTCAGGTTGTGTTCTGTAAGACTCTCTTTCTGTCAGATGCCCCTGCAGCCCCCCCCCCCCACTCTTCCAAATAAGAGGTATATATTACTTGAATTGGTGAATTTACTGGAAGAAAACCGGACGATTTCGCGGCGAGACCAAACGGAGGGACGGGGCTGAGCCGAAACTTGAATGGAGGCGGAGGAGAGGAATGGAAGATGGGAGGGGGAGACTGGGAAAACGCCCCCTCCTCTCTCTCTCTCTCTTTTCTGTCAAGGCTTTGCAGTTTTAAAGAAAGGTTGTGGGTCGAGGAGGGCGAGAGACAAACCCAGGAAGGACGACAAAGCTCCCGGAGTGGATGAAGGCGTAAAATGGATCTTCCGGCCATCCAATTGTGTGCCCAGCAAGTCCAGGGTCAGGAGTGAAACCCACTGGAGGTCGTGGGGTCTTTTTTCTCGGCTGCCCAAAATTCTCCAGGGATGGGATTTGGTGCCTCCCTCCTCAGCCAGGAGTGTCTCGTAGTGGTACAAACCGGATCGGCCGTCTTTTCTGCCCACCGGGATGACGACGGGGGGGGAGGTCTCAGCCGTCGTTGGCGGCCACGAGTTGCCCCATGCTCTCCCGGATGTAGACGGACTGGATCTCCTTGGTCTTGAGGCAGAAATCGCAGGCCCAGACAGCTGAGGCCTCGGTGGTGAGCAGCCCGTAGGCGTTCTCCGTCATGCCGGTACACTCCCGATGGAACCACTTCTGGCACGATGCCTCGCACAGGATGGCGTCTTGGTCGTCGTTCACTTCGCTGCGGCAAGCGCCGCAGGGGTACACCAGGCCGGGCGGAGGCTGGTGGCCCGAGTTGCCAGCTGCCTTGCTGGTGGGGGGCAAGGGGTTGCCTTCGGGGGTCCCGGTGGGGCCGCTGTGGCCGGTGCTGTTGGGCGGGAAGGCGGGCTGGGTGCCGTTGACGGCTGCCGGCGAGCCGGTGTGCTGTTCCTGGTTGAAGCTGTTGGGAGGCGGATGGAGGGGCTTGCCGGTCCCACTGTCTTCGGCAGAGGGAGGGAATCCGGGGTCGGGCCCCGGGAAGGGGCTGGGGTTAGGGGGCAGGCTGGAGAGGTTGGGGTTGGGGCGCTGCAGGGGGGACTGTCCAAAGAGGTTGGCGGGCTGGCTGAATCGCTGGGCCATCGGAGGTCCGCCTGGAGGGTTGAGAGCTGGCCCCGAGCCCATGTCCCCCCCGCGAGGGGGCTGCCCCATGGTTGGCGACATCATGGGGCCAAACGCCCCCATGGGCCCCTGCATGATTTGCCCGCCGGGGGGGCTGAAGTTCTGTCCCAGCGGCTGCCCGAAAGGTTGCCCGCCGAAGCCCATCCCGCCGGGTTGGACGTAGCCAGGGTTTTGGGGGGGCATGTTGAATGCGGGGCCCATCTGGTTGGGTCCAAAGGGGGGCGGCTGCCTCCGCATGGGCTGGGGACCCCCGCCGTAGCTGGGCGGGACCTGGGGGCCCATCGCCCCTTGCATGCGGAAGTTGCCAAAGGGGCCGGGGTTGCCGAGGAAGGGCGCGGAGGAGGAGCCAACCTTGGGGATGGCAAAGTCATCTTCAAATGGGTTGGAGGCCACCAGGTGATCGACCATCGGGGTGGGAGGGGGGGCAAACTCCGAGAGGTGGGAATAGGAGGGGCCCTGCAAGAAGAAAGAGGCGAATAAGCAGACCGGCATTCCTATATTGGCCAGAGAGGGGGACTTACAAGCACAGTTTCCAGCAGGGGGCGCTGGAGGCCAATAGATCTGGAAGATACCAAGTGTGGGGGAAGAGAAGATTAGACTAACTTAATATGGGTAATCCTCAATTTACCGCGATTGAGACAAAATCTCCAGTTGTGTTACCGTCATAAATTCGAGGCGCCCCGTGACCAGACCCGACTTTATGACATTTTTTTGCAGTGGTCCTTAAATGAATCACTGTGCTCATTAAGCCAATCTGCATTCATTAACGGCTGTTAAGAGGAAGCCCATTCTTTTACATGGCCATTAAAAAAATGCATATATAAATACACGACGGGAGGGAGGAGTATGGGAATAAGAACCCAAGGCTGTCTCGAACCCAGGGCACCTGAAACACACCCACCCATCCACCCCCTACCTCAAATATACCTGCGTGTTGGACTTGCGACGTTTCTTCTCTGGGCTCTTCATTTGAAGACCTGACGAAGGCAGAAAAGGAGAAATTGAGAATATTGGTCCAAGCATCTTATAGAGATTTGTCAGTCGTTGTCCAGGTCAAAGTTGTATCAAAGGGGCTTTTTTTTTTTCAAATGACACCAGGACTGTTTTTTTTTTCCTTTTTTAAAATTTAATTTGGCCAATTGTGATTATGAAACGATTACATCAATAGACGGGGATTTGTTTCCGGCGCAGAAGCTCTCAGTGTACATGGAAAGCACCGGAGTAATAATAATCATAATGATAATAATAATGATACCAATATGATGTGATAGAAAAGATGAGATGGATGGTAATAATTGGGGGCCTATTTTTCTTTCTTCATCTGTCTCTCTGTTTCTTCCTTTCTCATCTTCCCCTTTCTTTCACCCACTCCTCTTCATTCACTCTGTTCCTCCCTCCTTCCCTTTTTTTCTTTCTTTCTCATCTTCTCCATTCTTTCCTCCTTTTCACCCATTCCTCCTCTCAACTCCTTCCTTCCAGTCTTTCTTTTCCTCCACTCTTTTCCTCCCTCCTTCCCATCTTCTCCTCTCCTTTCTTTCGTCCTTTTCATTCACTCTTGATCCTCTCTTCTCCTTCCTTCCTGTCTTTCTTTCTTTTCATCCACTCCTCCTTATCCACTCTTTTCCTCCCTCACTGTTCCCCTTCCTTCCTTTCTCTTCCCCATCTCTCCTCTCTTTCCTCCTTTTCACTCACTCATCCTTTCTTCCTTCCTTCCCGTTTTTCTTTCCTTATTATCAACCACTCCTCCTTATCCACTCCTTCCTCCCTCCCTCCTTCCCTTCCTTTCTTTCTCATCTCTCCTCTCCTTCCTCCTTTTCCCTACCACCTACCTACCTACCTACCTACCTACCCACCCACCCACCCACCCACCTAACCTACCTACCTTACTAACCAACCATAGAAACATGGGTAAATATAC